ACTCTACCACGCTGTGTCTCTGAATGTACTCTCCTAGTTGGTCTCCCCAGAAGCCTAACTGCTCCGCTACAATCAACAATGAATGCTGCTGCCAGGCTGATCTTTCTCACCCGTCGCTCCTCTTATACCTCTCCCGTCTGTTGATCATTATATTGGCTTCCTGTATGCTATAGGTGTCAATTCAAAATACGAACCCTTACCTATAAAGCTTTAAACAAATCTTGCCCCTCTTACATTTCTTCACTGATTCACAGATATGCCCCGTCTCGGTCTCTCCACTCTTCCGGTGATCTTCTCCTGTCCTCTGCTCGCACCCTTACTGCAAACTCGCGCCTGCAGAACATCTGTTGAGAAATGCTTAGGGGCCTCATCTACCTATTGTTCCTGCGTCACTGTGTAATTGTCTCATTTATTCATAATATTTTGACCGGAGGGCGTACAATTACGCCCTATTTTAGGCGGCTCTAAACGCCACCGGGCGTAATTGTACGCCCTCCGGTCTTTCATTACTTACCCGGTCGCCGGCGGTCCCACCCAAGCGATCGCGTGGGGGGGACCCCCAGGGAGCCCCCCCGCGGCAGATCCTCCTCCTCCGGTGCCCCCCAGCCATGTGAGAGTGAGGTCCTTGCGAGGACCTCACAATCACATGGCCAGGTAGGCTGCCTCCTGCATTGCCAGCAGGGGGGCTGCCTGTAATGACAGGTGGTCCCCCTGCTGGCTAAAAATAAAAATAAAATAAATTAAAAAGTGTACAAAAAAAAATGTATACTTAGATCATATATATATATGTAATATATATATATATATATTACATATATATGATCTAAGTATATATATATATACACACACACATACACTGTCTAGGTGTATTTTACTATTTATATATATATATATATATATATATATTAATATCAAATTACACGTAGACTGATACTGATTAAATATATAATTATTTTATATATATTTATATATAATATAAAAAAATTAAATATGTAAATACGTTAAATAAAATTTAAAAAATAATTTAAAAAAATTAAAAAATATATAGATGCGTGTTATTTCGTTCTAACTGTATTGTGATATTAATATATATTTATATCAAAATACACGTAGAACGAAATAATATATATATATCTACATACATAAATATATACGTATATATCACTATATATACACACCTATATATAAATAAAAATATTTTTTAAAAATTTATATATTATATATATATATATATATACACACACATATATACATATATTAATTCTACATATATATTTATGTAATATTTTTACATAATTAGGTATCTTAATTAATTACAATTAGCGGGACCTGCCTGACAACTGAATTTAATTTGCTAGCACTATATTTAACCCTATAACTTTCCAAGATACCATAAAACCTGTACACGTGGGGTACTGTTTCAAAACAGTAAAGTGTATTACAACGATGATATCGCCAGTAAAAGTGACGTTTTTTGCCTTTTTCATGAACAAACAGCACTTACACGGACGATATTATTGCTGTGATACTTTTTACTGTTTTGAAACACAAATATTTGTGTTCAGCGAAGTCTCCTGAGTACAACAGTACCCCTCATGTACAGGTTTTATGGTGTTTTCAAAAGTTATAGCGTCAAATATAAGGCTTGCGTTTCATTTTTTTCACATTAAAATTCGCCAGATTGGTTACGGTGCCTTTGAGCTCAAGAATGAAAATGACCCCTATGATGGCATACCATTTGCAATAGTAGACAACCCAAGGTATTGCAATGGGGTATGTCCAGTCTTTTTTAGTAGCCACTTAGTCACAAGCACTGGCCAAAATTGGCGTTTTTTGCATTTTTCACACAAACAAATACTAACGCTAACTTTGGCCAGTGTTTGTGGCCAAATGGCTACTAAATAAGACTGGACATACCCCATTTGCAATACCTTGGGTTGTCTACTATTGCAAATGGTATGCCATTATGGGTGTGAATTAATTCCTGGGCTCCTATAAAGTCCCAAAGGCAACGTAACCAATCTGGCGAATTTCAATTTCAAATGTAATGCTATATTTGACCCTGTAATTTCCCAAAACACCATAAAACCTGTACATAGGGGGTACTGTTTTACACGTGAGACTTTGCTGAATACAAATAGGTGTATTTTATTGCAGTAAAAGCAAACAGTATTATGACATTGACAGTTAAAATGTCATGTAGAACTAAAAATAAAATCTTATTTTCTCCCATTTTTTTCATATTAAATTATGTTTCATAGCTAAATATTTGATATTAAATGAGAGCCCTGTTTCCCCTGAATAAAATGATATATAATAAGGGTGGGTGCATTTAATATTAAAGAGGTGAATTACGGTTGGACAGACATGTAGCGCAAATGCCAGGTTTTGTTTACATTTTGTTTCGTTCACAACGTGTACATTTGGCTCCGTCCTTAATGGGGTTAAAGTGCTGCGGAATTAGTTGGCGTTTTATAAATACCAATAATAATAATAATAATAATAATAATAATTAACTTACTATTTTTTAGCTTCTAGGAACAGTTCCCCCTAGTTAATTTCCACTTTTTCCCGAACATAAAAGTACTTTTCCATCGTTCGGTAGTTGCAACCTACCAAACACCGACCACACCCTGGCTTGTTAACTACGAAGTAACCACAAGCTTAAGTGCTCTCTCTGTTTAACCGCTGTTCATATAACCGAACAACACGTGCTCTGGAAAACGGCGGCCATCTTGTCTCCTGTACGCAGGCAGCGGCACTTGGTCGTCGAGCGTCTGGAACTCCAAGTTGGATACTTCAACGTGCGAACTTTGGTGACTTTGTACCGACGCCTGCTTCCATTGCCAACAAGGCAGGAGAGCTCTGTTCAGTAGAAATGTTCACATGAACTAGGTGAACATTCGCTACCTACGAGCTACCGGTTTGTTTTCGTCTGAGAACTCCCGAAAAGTGACCGGCCAAAGCACCAAAGTTTCTCTTACCTACCTAATTTGACTCATAACACTCTGATCGGTTACTTAATCCACCAATCAGAGTGCTCTGTGCCATTTTACACAGCATGGGAAAATTTCAAAGAACTGTAAAATGACACAGAGCACTCTGATTGGTAGATTTCAAGCCAACCAATCAGAGTGCTGTGACAGGTAAATGTAGAGACTTACCTGTCAGTCTCTTCATTTACCTGTCAGAGCACTCTGATTGGATGGCTTAAACCCACCAATCAGAGTGCTCTGAGCCTAATTGCAGGGCAGGGAAAGGCTTTATAAGCCCTGCAGAGCTCAGTCTGTGTGGAGCCCTCCATGGGTGAATTTTTTTTTTTTTTTTTTTAAAGTGTGGTGGTTATTATGGATTTTTATTTGGCCTTTTTTGGGGTTGAAAAAAGAAGAGCAAATAATGGGTCGCAAGAGAATACTGAGAACGGGCAGCAGCTGAAATAGCCTGCCCTTCGGTAGGTCCCCGCTCAGTTCTCAAGCTGGTTTTTGCTCATCTTGTGCCATTACAGAGAGAACATCTCTGAAACATATCAGACTGGTCCCACCCATACGGGCAGTCCAGATCCAAAATGCCAGCAAATTCCCTCTGCACGAGAGATACAGCAACCCCAGACAATCGTTTCAGTCTTGTTAGGCATCATCAGTGAGGCATACCTGATATCTCCCTGGGCACCGTGAGCAAGGAGTCCACATCTGGATTACCCTTTAAACTGGTGGAGAGCAAATAATGGGTCGCAAAAGAATACGGAGAATGGGCAGCAGTGAAATAGCCTGCCCTTCGGTGGGTCCCCGCTCAGTTCTCAAGCTGGTTTTTGCTCATCTTGTGCCATCACAGAGAGAACATCTCTGAAACATATCAGACTGGTCCCACCCATACGGGCAATCCAGATCCGAAATGCCAGCAAGTTCACTCTGCACGAGAGATACAGCAACCCCAGACAATCGTTTCAGCCTTATTAGGCATCATCAGTGAGCAGCCACAGGCATACATATATATATATATATATATATTTATATATATATATATATATATGTATATATACACACACACACACACACACACACACGTATATACACATACATATGTCATGTCACTTGATCCTGAGGAAGGTCCCTGTGTGGACCGAAACGTTGATCTCTTTCACTTAATGGAATAAAGAATTTTTCATTGCAAAGACCGTGATTGCAGTCCTGGGTTTCATATTCCTTTGGTGTTTATCTACATCTCCATAAGGACTGGCACCTGGCAAGTACACTAAATGCATTAATGCATAAGAATTTTGAGCGTGAGTGCAAGGATTTGAATATTTTTTATATATATACACATACATATACATACCCACACATATACTGCTGTGTGTGTCTGTGTGTATATATGTATGGGTGCTGTGTGTGTAAGGGTGCGGTTAGTGTGTGTGTGTGTGTGTATGTGTAAGGGTGCTGTTAGTGTGTGTGTGAGGGTGTGGTTAGTGTGTATGTGTGAGGGTACTGTGTGTGTGTGTATTTAGATGCTGTGTATGCGTGCTGTATGTTTGGGTGATTGTGTGGGGGCCGTTTAGTAAATATCCCCTCTCCCTTCTTACCTTATGCCTGGGAGAGGGGATCCTGCTGCTGCTGCCATCCAACGTTGGTGGTCCAGTGGAGAGTGAACTCTAGCCTGCGGGGCTAGAGTTCACTCTTGCGAGATCTGAGCGTTGCCACAGCAACACTCCGACCTCGCGAGAGGAACCCGGCGGAGCTACAGCTCCCTGGATCCTCTCCTGCCTGTGGGTCGGTGAGGGGAGGCTTAGAGCAGAGCCGGCGCTCAGATAGGGCCAGCTCTGCATGAACCGACGGGAGATCCTGAGATCTCCCCTGCTGATCTTTGCTAATCATAGATATAGGCACCTAAGATACACGTGTGATAAAAAGACATGAGTACCGTTCTGAGGAAAATCCGTATATAAAGGCTAGTATATATTGTGTTTAAGCTTATCTAACAGACGTACTAAATACCAATTGTGACAGATTTATTTGAAATAGTATCCCGTGAGACAGAGACAAGACAATTAGTGAGCAACATTTTAACCGTGCAGATTGAGTTTATTATGTTAATAACCCAGGCAAGCTTGTGCACAATTAAATAAACCATGTAGCAGAGGATAGTGAGGAAAGTAATGAAGGGCTCGTTAGAACTAGGGAACTAACCTACAAATATGTGCAGGAACAAAACAGACGTGCCTGTGAGATTTAAGAAGTATCTAGGAACTGCAAAAAACGAACAGTTAAAGTGTACAAAATTGTGAATTACCCAACATTAATCGTGACTTTATGCAAATTTACCAATCGAATAGCAGAAACAAATTACAGTGGTACCTTCATGTATTCTAGGATTTAAAGGGCATATGATAAAGCCAACGTATGAATGATAGAGTGTGCAAACGTACGGCTTGAATTTACCGAATGCACTGAGCGTAAGAGACAGAGGAACAGCTTTAACAGTCATTCAAATTAAATATATATTAACGAAATGGGCTTTTAAACTAAATGGCTTTAAACAAATCGATTTAAAACTAAATGATTTAAATGAAAAGGATTCAATGAATGACCAATTTAACAAAATTAGTTAAACTAACGGAATATAAATGAACAGAAATTTGACGAATGGCATGAATTATGCAAAACAGAGGGAGCCAAACCCCGCGTTTATTAGGCCCGAACGTGGGAATGCCGCGAACGGATTGCCAAGTGAACATATGTGTGCGCGCTGCGTCTAGAGACCCGGGAGCCGGTCTCAGGATCGGGAACTGAGACAAAGGCCATGCGGGCGGTTGGGACCCCCGTAAAGCTGCAGACCGGGTTGAAGAGGCTGGAGTCGAGTCCGTGGCTGCTGGAACAACATGGAAGACCGGAACCGGAAGTGCTGGTTGTCGTGGCAACGTCGCTCTAACAGGAACCAGCATAGGTAAGCGGGGTGGGGGGGTGGGTCGAGCTTTTATAGGGAATACCACAAATTCAAGCCTTTGGCCTTTTACTTATATAATCAAGGAATAAATAATATTTAAATGTCCTGAAATACTTGATTATATAGCACTGTTATACATTAAAAAAAAATGCAGTGACTATAAAATTTGTTTCTATGATGGATGCTTTTACATTTCATCTTGTGAGAGGGTGAACAGACAAGGGGGTTAGTTAGAATGTGTTTTTATTGGATCTTGGAAGTGTTCTGCAATAGCCTGATTGCAAACAGAGCAACACATCGGGAGTTTTACTATACTGCATAATGTCTAATTATCCATTTATTAACTTAGGCAGCAAATTGAAATGCAAATAACATAAAGAGTAATAATTTACATTAAAGTGATGCTTAATGGATGAAGGTACAAAAGAGAAGTATTCAAGTATAAGTGAAATACATTATCTTACACCTAATGCACAAGCAAAACATTTTATATTATACAGAGAACCGAAGATCACACTAAACAAACAGATGCTGGTTCATGATAGTGATAATGTGCTACAGAGGTCCAGTCTGTGAAACAGAAAACATTACATTACTTTTTTCTTTCACAAGATTTAAAAACAGAATGTTTTCTTCAGGACCTGTTCTTGTATAGCATGACGTTCTGTCAAAGTCCATAGAGGTTACAAGGGTCACCCAATGCAGTGTCAGACAAAAGCTAATAAGGGTTTTCGTTGGTAATTGAATCAATCTGCAGAACAGGGCTTCAAACCCCAGAAATTAATCATCTTAACATTCGTTGATATGGGTCTAGTTAAACAAAAAACCTATAACCAACAGTGCCATCACTATTCCTTTTAGCAAACCTGCCAACATCCACAATGTATATTAACAACATATACAAAGGACCCTACATCATTTCCACAGTACTGCCCTCTTGTGTTTTCAGGTGACATTACAAACATTACTATGCTGCCTATTGTCTCAATGAAAGCAAACATACCTTAAAAGCTTTGCTACATTCTAACATTTTATTTTGACCTGCAGAACGCCAGATTAACTTGTTTGCTTCTATGCTGACAAATTAACACAACCCTGCAGGATGTATTTTCTATAAAATGTCCTCTGTAGCTACCTAGCAATGGGGCTCCGTAACAGAGCTTCAGTAATTAAGATTTAAGATATCTGGAAAGGTGCGTTGCACACAAACAATTATGACAACTATTATTACAATTGTAAACAATATATTATCTTCTTAACTTGCTGGAGCAACTGTGGACAAGATGAATCAAACATAAGACAAACATTGTTCAATTATTGTGTTACAAAAACATGTCAAAATTCCTCAAACAAAATAAAAACCTATTCTCAGTACCTTCAACAACTATATACACCATGGCTTGGCACGTCTCAAACTGAACACACGCTAATGTGGACAAGATAAGGCAGGTGTCATTCCCACTGATAACATTTTTCTGGTGCTCTGAAACCAGGGCTGGCGTTCATGACTAGAGAGAATCCTTGAATCTACTTGCTTATCAGTGCTTTATGGAAGTGATGGCAAATATTGACTGTCCTATTTTTATTATGTTTATTCCGTACATTTCCAAAAAGCGGGGCTGAGAACAGTAGTCAATTCAAATATCTGCTGTCCAGTGTTAGTCATCATTGCTTTTTATTTTAAAATGACAGATGCATTAATTCCCCTCGTGTTTCTGCCTAGAGATAGAGGCCTTAAGGACAAAATATTGCCAGTTAGGCTTCTAAGTGCAGATAGTAACAGACGTGTAGCTCAGGGCTGCATATTTAGAGATTATTCAAGTTTGATGGTATGGGTCTCAACTGGGCACCCAATTTATTTTAATATGACAATTTGGGTCTCAAGTGGGTGCCCACACAGAAAGCTGTACAAAATGATTACCAACCCTACTATCTACCTAAAGGAATTTCCAGATGCAGCACTTCAAAATGTCACACAATTTCAATGAGATTATTGTTACAGGAACAACCCAAGCCACTCTTGACCTGTGCAAAGACCTGCAGTGCAGGCACTGGCCCCCGGCAGACCCCAGCTCACCTCTGTCAACTGGATAATGCGGAAGCACCCAGGAGACTTTGTTTTGTCAAACACAAACCTCAGACAGAACTGGGGGACACCACAAGGGGTACCAGGGAACCATAACCACAACATTAGACTGCAATGGATATGGTGCTTAGCGTGCTCCTTAACAGTAGCATAAACAGGACAGCTTATTAAAGTCAGACCACAATTTTTTTTTGTGATATTTAGAATTAAAAGAATGGAAACGTCAAAATATATATAGATTTATGAGAGTATCACAGGCAACATGAATAATAGAAAATGGACACATTGTGAATTACAACAGAAAGTTCATGATATAAGGGTGAGGGGAAAAAACATACTGGCAAACAACAAAATTATAGGAGCAAAAGAAATTCAGTCAAGCATTAAAAGAAATAAAAAAACAACAAACTGTAGAGGAAAAACAAATGAATGTCATTAAGTAACACGCTGGTCTTAAAAACAACGCATTTTTTTTTAACCTATTAAGCTCCGCTGATAGTCCACATTTGTAAAGCAATTAGCGGGATTCTGCAATTGAAGACATTCTAAGAGCAAATGTACATTGACAAATGTCTTTCTGCCCAAAAGGTTTGTATTGTATTTGCCGTTTCACTTCTTATTTAATCTTTTGGTGACACTATCACCTACACATTAACCCCTTCTGCCCGAGCCTGTTTTTGTATCTGTTTCAAGCCTTGACAGATGCTGCATGTAGCATATGGGCATGTAGTTTTGTGGTTTCTTTTGGGTACTGAAAGCACCCTTTCTACTTTTGCACAACTTTCGGTTTTTATACCGACAGTGTTCTGGGGAGGATTTTGATTTTCATTGATTGTTAAGGTCATAAAGATCAATTATCCATCTAGTACGCAAGTGGTACTTAATGGTAATTAACAGTTTCCCTCAACTGAATAGCTTCTTTTACATTGTACATACAGGTTTTGGATTGTTATGTTTATAGCAAAGTATCAAGTTTCCTACACAATACTAGGCTTCCACCTCATGGTCTGTAGACCTATATAGACAGATCACAGGTCATTTCATATGTTTCTATACCATGGGTAGACACAATTTGCATCTGAAAAGGGTTTGTTATGCCATCTCCCAAACCGATGTATAGTTCATCGACAGCAGCGCAAAATAACAACTTCCCTATTGGACTACCACAGGATACATGCACACAATATATATTTTCTGGAAACATACTATACTACCGTAGTCTGTGCAACCCAAACAAGTAAAACAAGGACCTGGGTTGAATACAAAAATAAAATTTAAAGATATATAACAAACTTTCTCAAGCTGTTTATTTTCCTTGAGAGTACTCCATACATTAACTTAAAAACAAGTTTCAGTGAAAAAGAAAAGTTAGAATTTTTTTGGTAGCATAAAATACAACATTTTTTCTTTAAATGTTCAGGGCTAATGCGTAAGCCCAATTAGTTATTTAAATTATGGATCTCTTGGTAAAGTGCGTCATTGTAGACCGGAAATTGTGTAAATCAGTGAGATTAGAAATGTGTCCCAGCACAAAAGCGGTTAATAGAATAGAACCACACACACACTAATGGGGGAATATTAAGGTATAACAATATTAGCAATTGTAACCATAATATATTCAAAAGGTATATTTATTTAAAATTGCTAATATTGTGAATATCATTTATCAATGAATCAGCCACTCTAAGCACGTTTTTTTTTTGTGTTGACTTTTTTATGGATTCAATTAAAAAGTAAATTGACTTAATTAGGTGGCACATTACAAAGTCAATGTATTGTTGATTGCTGCTATTTCAATGTTGCCCCTTCCAACCATGTTGTATACTCCGTTTTAAATGTTCCCAAACTCCCCTTTTGAACTTGTTGCACCTCTTGTTCCACTTTGCAATTTTTAAACAGACTACATTAGTCACACAGCTAGTCAAACAAGGACATTTGTATCTTACAACCCACACCCATCCTTGGCTACCAATTTAAAACTTAAAGTATGGTAGAGCATAGGCACATATCTTTCAACTGGTGGTTTAGCAATCTGCTTTGACCTATGCAGTGTTCTACAAAGATAATAGGGTCAATAAACTTTAAAAGAATTTGTACTTTTCAAATTTTGTGGAGAAGAAATTAACCAGTCATTAATTCACATGCAGCCACTCACTGGAGATGCCCAGGGGCCAATAAAATGATCTGTTTCATGTGTATGATTACAGCTGCTGTAGCAAGAAATGATTTAGGATTATGCATTTTGTTAATATTCAGCAAAATGGTTTTGCAGTATTATTTAGCAGGATTGCTAATTTAAGTAGGCATACAATTAATTAATTACAAGGAAAGAATCTGTCAAGCATCTTAAAATCTACAGCTCACTCATAATACAGAACATAGATAAGTCTACTGTGGGTTCATGGAAATTCCAGAAAATTGTATTTTCGTCAATGCGTATACTGTTTGCGTAGAAGGAATGTGAAGCAACATCCAACTTCAGGAACTGCTTTAGAAGCTGGGACGGTCACAATCAACAGTCAGCACACATGAACAGTAATAACTGCATATCTCAAAGGTTGGAACAGGACAGAAGGACAATTCCACCTTGACAAGTCAAACAAAAGATCAGCGAGGGATGGCATACAGAAAGGAAACAATCAGACACTATGAATCTTCTGCCATCTGGAGCAGGGAGTTGATAGCAGCTTCTCGATTTCCATGTTGGGCTTCCAGAACAGTACGGATGACTTCAGGGTCTATAATGGGGAACATATCCTGCAGGGCTTTTAGGTCAGCATCGCTGGTTTGGTGCTGGGGGTTCACAGGAGGCGGTGCGGTCACCGGTAACCCAGTGTTGTAAACTGTTGGCATACCTGTAGAAAGAAAGTCTCAAATATAACTTAATCAGCACAAGAAAATTATAAGTACATACTTATCTGTGTTGATGTATTCAGGAACACCAAAACATCTCTCACACAAGCAACAAGAAAAAACAAAAAACAAAAAAAAAACCAAACAAGCTAAAGGGTAACTGTCACAACACTGAATAAAATAAAATTTATAATAAAGATTTAACAAATTAAACCATGACCAAGTTTAGACAGGGAAAAGCCAGATCAAACATTGCAAATGAATATGAGAAATAGAAACACTTTAATTTCTCCTTTTCGTTACATTTTCTCTATACTCTCTGTTCTCTATCGGAACCGGAACTCTAGTACCTTGTTCTAGTACCATCAGTGTCCCCTCCCAGGGGTCTGCAGATGACAGGAACTCCCTTTGTCCCCTGTTCCTGCCACCAAAATACAGGATTTCCCACTTCCAGAGTCTCTTTACCTGGGAGTCCCAGCGTGGGAAAGATCCCGCCTCCTGGGCTCCCAGGCACAGAAAGCCTGCCAAACTGCTATTGTCCCCATCAATCTCAGGGACCCCCAGAACCGTAACAAACCGCCTCCGTTCGCAGGGTCCCTGGGTGAAAGCAGGCAAGGGAAGCATTTCCTTTTGGGACACGAATGCTCCCCCTGGCCGGCGTTCGTCTATACGAACGGCGGCCACCCAGGGAAGCACTCAATCATTTCCCTTGCGGTTTCACACTTATGTTGCAAGTTGTCAACGTTCTAAATGATTGGTGTGAACATTCCAAGGGGCACTGGGGATGTCCTCGTTCGGGAGCCGAACAAGATGGGAATCTATCTGCGAATGCTTCCCCTGGATGGCTTTCGTCTAATGAATGGGCCGCCACCCAAAGTCGGCACGCGCAGAGGCTTTCCTTGCGGTTTTCACACCTCGTTTGCGAGGTGTGAACGTTCTAACTAAACATTCTAAAAGGGGTATTGGGGTGGTCCCCGATCGGGAGACTAACGGGATTTGTTCGTACGCGATATCCCGAACAAAGAAATCACAAATCCATGGGGAACATAGGCAAATACACTTAATACTTTCTACGGTTTAGCGGTGATCCCGCTTGTAACGGATCACCTGGCACCCCGACTGGGTACCTCCGTTGAAGGATGCTCCTAGCGCTTCCTGAGGACTCCAAGCCCTGCAGCAGACACCATAACCACCGTAGACGCCTCCAGAGAGCAAGGCAGGAACAAGCTCTTACAAGAGCTTAGTAGTGATTTAGCAAGGGAGTATGACAAGTATAGCAATCCCTTGTAGCAGATACCGCCAATAAGAGACAGCACTCCAAATTGAGGGAACAATGGGGGTCACCCCCTGCCTCTGTGCTAGGATGAAGGCCTGAGTCTCATATTAGCTTGGTTAGTAGTTCCGCCAGGGGAGTCTCTTTGAATAAGGCCAAGCACATTGTATGTTACCTGTGTTACACCCCCTTGGGAGGAGTATAAAGCAGAGTGTAGCCAATAAAGCTGTTTTGTGTTGTCCAGTTACTGGGGGGGGGGGAGGGGGAAAATGGGTCTGGTCCTTTATTAATAGTGGAGGTAACCAGCCGGGTTACCCAGGGTCCGCTACAAGTAACTCTTTACTGTTCCATTTATACCGCATATTTCTAGCCTACGGCTTTAAATGCAAGAGGTTAAAACGGAAAGAGTAGTTTATTAAAAAAATTATCTTAACAAATTAGTTAATGATGGCCATTAGCAGGACAGCAGATCACTACAAGGTAGGTTCACAGGTGTTAGTTTTTGTTACCTTATTACCAATTAAAAGGAACACTCCGAGAACCATAACCACTTCATCAGAGTAAATTTATGTACCAGTAGATTCCATTTAGGGGTTAAACAGTTTGGGAATGTCTTCTAACGCTGTTTAGCTCTGCCCCTGTTCTACTGCTGCTCTAAGATTCTTCAAACAAGAAACATCGGACTGACGCAGCCAGAGGCACCTCTGATTGCCTCTGAACGCTAAACTACCTTCCTACAAAACAACTTGAGGAATGTACATATGTTTCCTAAGCTGTTCTAATGGATGGGGAGCGACTGTCTGGCTTGTATGGTCAGCTGATGCTCAGCCAATCTGAGGCACCGAAGTCCGCATCTTTCACTATGGAAAATTTCAGAGCAGCAGGACAGGGGCTGAGCTAAACGGCTCTGGAGAGAAAGGTTTAATCCTGAAAAGGAAAGCCGTCACCATAATTACGATTAAGTTTTTATGGCGCCCAAAGGTTCCCTTTAAATCCTGTAACTGAAGGAAACATCAGTTACCTAAATGCTCTGTTAGCCACTTGAATGCTGCAGCACTGCAGAACTTTGCAACTAATTGGCGTCTTACGTATCCTACTATGGGAACAACGACGTTACTATTCTACAACCAAAATCCATATTATTCAAACATACAAACCGGAAGACAACTTTTCCAAACAGAAACTTGGATTTCACACCACAGGAGACTAACACTTCAAGAAAGTTTCCCCTATTTTCCAAATAACATCTACGAAAATCAAACAATTCAACCACATCCACATATCAAGAAAGTTCATAACCAGTTTGGAAACATCTGCAGCTATGAGGATTCACTTAGGCTGTCCTTTAAATTACAATAAATAATAGCTGTGATTGTATAAACATAAACACACAGATCAGTTTTGTGAAGTGCTTGGCAAAACATATCATGCTGAAGGCTGCATACACTTACCCAGAGTTAAGTAATCAAGACCTAGGTGAAGATGTAAGAAAGATAGAACAGGATACAAACATAAGAAAAAGAGTGAAATTGATAAGTAAGAAAGAATGTTAATGGACTATATATGAGGATAATTTGATATACAGGAAATATAGCTTTGTATGAAATGCAAAAAAGTGTGAGAAATGACCAATCACTGCTAAAATTCAAGTTTTTTGTCTTATTGTAACTGTTACAAAGGTGTACACGTCTTCTGAAACCACAAGACATAAATTAACTTCTTAGGATATTTTAGGAAGGTTAGCAGCAATCAAACCTCAGCCAAATCACCGTGGCAAGCAGGAATTGTTGATACAGTGAGAAGTCAGCTATACAGAAATAATATGCTGCCAACTTGACACGGAATGGGCATCCAAATAACAGAAGTTCAGAAGACTGTTACACAACAGTCTTCATATAAAAAAGGAAAAAAAAAAAAACTTGAATTTTGGTTGTAAATCAGTTTAACATAAGTAGAGATGACAGAGGCATTATTAAAGTGCTGATTTCCTAACATATGTATATTACATTTAAATTGCTAAAAAGAATAAATGCATTAACAGACATCCGCTACGTACAGTATAAACTTTTTCAAAACACATGCATCAGACCAACGCATACCAATCACAATCCTCAGCCCTGTAGAAAGTCTGTTCCATTTTTCTATTGTATTATTGATGATTCTGCTCAATCAACATACATGTCTACAGATGTTGTGATTTAATTCACTTAAAAATATGTGCTCCACCCCTCCCCCCATTAATGACACACTGTGACCATTGCTGAAAGAGTAATTCAGATATTCACTAGCAAATTATTTGTCTTTACATAAATACACAAGCTGCAGGTGAGATATGGGGTGCATAGATAGACCGTGTATTATTATATAAATATATTAAACCTGTGTGTGCTGGAATACTGTGCCATACTTCAATAAGAAAAGTCTCCATTCTTTTAGAGCTGGAGCAATACAAATGACATCTTGTGGTGTAGTCTCTCTGCTTCTAGCTTCCCCCGTGAAATATAATTCTGGAGAATCTAACTGATCCTTGTTATTGTTCTAATTTAAAGTGTCACTCCAGACCCCTAAAGAACTTTAGCTTGCTGAAAAGCTTTATGTGTGAAGAGTTTCCTCTTTTTCATTTTACAAAAAGTGCAGATTTCAATAAAAAATTTACACTTTCAAGCAGAAAACAGGCAATGTCAATTCCTGGTTTTGTTAGCTCTATGCAGCTGACCTCAAGAGGCAGCAATTTCCCAGGGCACCTGACTTACAATGACTTCTCATTGAGCTGCTTTGGGAATTCTGTGATTGGACAGCCACAGAAAGTCTGGGCTTGAAAAGTCTGCAGACAAGAGAGATTTATCCCCAATGAAAAATATATAATTAAATACATACAAGTTTTCATTTGGGGTATATATACTAAACGGTGAAATTTATTTTGTATTTGGGCAGTGGAGCTGGCTCCTAAACAACAGAAGGCTAGTTGAGTTAAAAAAAAAAAAAAAAAACACATTTAAAAAATTGTTTTTGTACATTACCGATTACATGATCTATATATTTTGTCATGAAGACTGCTAATATAACCAAAAACACTGTTTTGCTAAAGTGCTCAAGTATGTTTTCCACCTAAACAGGTGTCGCGGGTGTAGCGGATGATATTACGGCTGTCCTAAAAGACTGTGTTAAAACTGCAATTTGTGTGTTTATTCTCCTGTATAGTTAAAAGTGTATGTAGTATTCGTATGATTGTTCGGTAGTTTCATCCGTATCCCATACGAATGAAAACTACCGAACCAGTAGACCACCCCAGAGAGAAGTGTGCACCTTACTAGGCTTCACACTTCTCTAACCGCAGGTTAATTGGTACTTTGTGCATGAATTTGGGTGGCCGCAGTTTGGCATACACGTGGCGGCGGCCATCTTACGCACGAAAACCTCAGCAGTGTTTGGGCGTCGAGTGTCTGGAACTCAAATCGGACACTCAATTACCCAAACACCGCTGAGACCTCCAGAGCTCCGTAACTCCCGGAGAGGCTAATCAGCCCCACGTTCGGTGAGTTAAAAGTACCGAACAAGGGGATTCATGCGAATACAAGGTAAATAGTGGACGTCATGTATTTATGTGTATTTTACCTCCCGAACGGAGACGAAACGCAGGGCCAAAACACAAGGAACCCTTTTCGGCTACCACCTCGTGTGCGGTCGGTCAAATTGTCCCTTCCACCTAACTCCCGAACCCCTGGTCTGATCTGGGTGAATTTTGGATATGTTGGTCACCCAGATCAGGGCTACCAGGGGGTGCCACTTAGCCCATTGTACCTAACTGTTTTGGGGTACATCCAGAACTCTGGAAAACTACAGCATGTTTAATGGGATTATGTGTCACACTGAGGGGAGGAGATGTGTGGGAGGTAACTGTGACATTATTGGTTACTGTCCTAATTATGGTGAATCCCTCCCTTGCATGGGAGAATGCTTTATAAGGTGGTTGTGTGAATTAAAAGTCAGTTCTGCTTGACCTCAAAACGAAGTGTCGTCTCGTTATTGGGGGAATTGAATTGTATGCGGATTGCCAGGAGTGTAAGCTGATTGTATGCTTTTCCTGTTCAGCTGCTTACAGCATTCGTATGCTTCTCCGGTTCGGTGGTTGTGGTGTCTGCTGTAGTGCTTGGAGTCTTCAGGAAGTGCTAGGAGCATCCTTCAACGGAGGTACCCAGTCGGGGTGCCAGGTGATCCGTTACAGTGGGCAAAGGTCTTTAAATCAAATGTCAAAGTGATGCCTAATCCATAATATGAGATACAAATTCTACAAAGTTACAGAACCAAGTGCTCCCTCTGGTGTAAATATTGCATCCTGTAACCCTCTGAGAACTATTAGAATATAAGTAGTGTCCAGTTTTTTTTAGTGTCTATTTTTAAAATTACTTTCTATTTAGGTCCGACTATTTTACAGAAAATAAACAGGTTTTAATATTTGTTTTAAAAAAAAAAAATATATACCCTTTTAAAATTACTTTGTGTATTTTTTTTTTACAAAAGCAGACACATGAATACATGTAACTGGCTTGAAATTATACATTTAAGAAGTAATAATTTAGGTTGGTTTTCTTTTAACCTGCATTATATGTAGCGACATCCTCATGTTTATATATGATTTTAAATACTACTTTTATGTATTTTAGTAATAAGTTATCAGGTAGTTGTTTTTAAGAGTCATATGTTTACTTACCACTGTGTAGCACCTTATTTAAACAGGCCCCTTTGACGTATATACCAGATAAGGGAATTATATAGACATGCTCTCATACATTGTTTTCATTGAAAAAAATAGCTAAATGCTGGAAGACACATGAAAAGTTCTGCCACAGCAGGATGGAAGAGTGCAAATACTTTTATGAACCAGTCCCATTTGGACTTCATAGTGCTGCTATCTCGTCATCTCGAAAAGTTCGCCAAGTCCGGGCAAAACGTGTAGATTGGAAATTGGGCTGCATGCATATCAGTAAGCACGGACTATTTCAACGGGGTTTAATTTCAGCGTCCCTGCGGTTCGGAATGCACATATTGCAGCTCGCACTCAACATACCGGTGGAACCAGCTGCCTTGACAGAGTAGAAAAAATCCTCTGAACATAATGCTTGACTGTACACTACTGATCATGTGCGTTTAGTGGTTCTTGGAAACAAAAAACACACTTTTATTGTGTAAGAGTTTCTAATTAGGGGTTGGGAATTTTGGGAAAATAAATATAAAGTGTTCCATTATATTTTGCTTCTTTGTATCTTAAGTTTCGCATCAGTTGGATATAGTGAACATAAACTACCTGAGATCCAATCTGTAATAAATCCAGCGCTGTGGAGATTGTATTCTGAACTCTACACAAAACAAAGGTAAAACTAACATCATCACCCCATCATGTATTGACTAAGGGGATTAGTGACTACACTTTTTTGTTAATAAATACTGCAGGATGATAATGTTGACTTTCACAAACCAAAGCAAATTCTTGAGAGCTTTAATGTACCCCAGAAACACATCTTCCACAGCCTGCACAAGTGATGGATTGAAATATCTATATATTGTGTTTCTCTTCTTCCAATATTAAGGACATTTCAAGGAGGAAGATTTGGTTCCATCAGGTGCACCCCTACGCATTTGTTCACTTTTTGTGCGTTTTCTACCACCTCTTCCCCCATAGCCTCATTACTCATATGGTTTTACACTATGAATAGCTCATTTTTGATTTATAGAGTCCTTTAATTTGTATAAGGATTTGCAGATATAGGAGGTTACAGAATTCCGAGGAGAGATATCTTTCCTGTACTTTGGGGTTTTACACTTACATGTTTTTCTGTCTGGTTTTGGGTGTGTTTGGTAGATTTCCCTTTGTTTCACTCTTATGAGCACATCTTTTAGGGATTTATATTCTGTGATGGATTGATATATCATTGAACCTTTATGGGACTTTATAGAATGCAGTGTGGAAACGTCATGTCCAACTCTTATTTTCAAGAACTGGGGCTTTTTCTCTTGAAGACTGGTGCAATATCCCATTAGACAGAGGTGACCTGACACCATGCCAAGAAGGTAAAGGGTGACCACACTCATTACCAGTACACTGGCAGTGATAAATTATAGTGGTTCGAAAATGTTGCTGAGCGCAACTAAATACCCCCAACATGTTGATGGCAGGTGACATTACACATGTTTTAAATTAGATTATATCTAACTTTATGCTTTGTGCATAACATTTTGTTTATGGATATAAAAGATTACTGCCCCATATAGCATAGTTCAGCCAATGTATTACAGTTCTACTAGAATTAACACATTCAGACTACTCGGGCTCCTTTTCAAACTGCAGCTTACACCACATGCTCTCAGAGGTAACTCCACTACATACATTCCAGTTACGCAGAAACCCAACCTGTTACCATTTTTACCTGCAATGGGCACATAGCCAACTCCCTGTTGATACACTGTAGGCATTAAAACCACAGGTTGAGGCTGCATCATCATTGCTGCTGGCATGGACTGAAAGAAGAATACAAATACATTGTATTAACTTTGAGAAATAATACCAATGAGTAGAACAAAACTACACTTAAAAAGGAACACTGGCTTTATAACATTACTAACCTGAAACCAAGGGAAATATTTTTCAAATAAAGTTTAATAGTTGGGTGATTTAAGGGCACATTAAAATAAAACTGACAACTATTATTAATGAAATTTAGAATGGACCATAGTGGAAAAATACATCATTAATGTACATAAGAGGTATATATTAGCCCTGGTTTGTATTGCAGCTAATGAGATCTGTACCATTTAAGTTGATACGGTCACGGCGCCAGACCAGGGTGACCAAGCTAGATGTAATCCAAGGCGGACTCATACTATACAGCGGAGACCAATCTGGTCCACCTCCCATACGGTTTCATCTTCATGTAGCATTCTGATAGACGCAGGAAGCATCTCACCGGAGATCATTTCTAGCCCCACCTCCTCTCCTGACATAGGTAATGTAAATGTGCGTATTTTTAAAATACTAAGCTTTTTTACTGTAGAACTTATGTTCTTTTTAAACGCCTACTCAAAGTGGTATCAAAACTTTGACAAAGCATTGCACTTGTGTTCACTGAAACTCATTCATTTTGGTTTGTAATTTGTACATTATTTGGGGTAAGTGTTATTAAAGAACAAGCAGTCAACACATGACAGACTAAGCATGTTTTCAGATCAGCAGGGTAATTTTACATAGTTACATAGCTGAAAAGAGACTTGCGTCCATCAAGTTCAGCCTTCCTCACATGTTTTTTGCTGTTGATCCAAAAGAAGGCAAAAAAAACCAGTTTGAAGCACAATTTTGCAACAAGCTAGGAAAAAAATTCCTTCTTGACCCCAGAATGGCAGTCAGAGTTATCCTTGGATCAAACAGCTATTACCCTACATTGAAAGATTATATCCGTGAATATTCTGTTTTTGCAAGTATGCATCTAGTAGCTGTTTGAACATCTGCTTGGACTCTGGTAAAACCACTTCTTCAGGCAGAGAATTCCACATCCTGATTGTTCTTACAGTAAAAAAAAAACCTTTCCTTTGCCTTAGACGAAATCTTCTTTCTTCCAGTCTAAACGCATGGCCTCGTGTCCTATGTAAAGTCCGGTTTGTGAATAGATTTCCACACAATGGTTTGTATTGGCCCCGAATATATTTGTATAATGTTATCATATCCCCTCTCAGGCGACGTTTTTCTAAACTAAATAGGTTTAAATTTGTTAACCTTTCTTCATAGCTGATATGTTCCATTCCTTTTATTAATTTTGTAACCCGCCTCTACACTTTTTCTAATGCTATAATATCCTTCTTTAGAACAGGTGCCCAAAATTGCACAGCATATTCAATATGGGGTCTTACCAGTGATTTAAAAAGAGTCAAAATGATATTCTCGTCTCGTTTTTTTAATTTTAATAATTAAAAAAAAAAAAATTCTGAGCTTCTTTTAATTTGGAGTTTAGCCTGTTAAAGGGAACCTGCCACCCCGCTGCAATATTATTAAATTTCTTTAACACCAAGCTCTGTCTGCCCTTGCTTCTCACGCTCTCTTCACTGGTTTGCCCTGCTGGAAAACTTCCTGCACGACGCAGACACGCTGGCTTGGTTGCCAGCATGCCAGAGTTTGAAGACATCAATCTGTTCTATACTCTGTAGCCAGGCAAGCTGCACTAGCTAGGGATTCATCATAGCGACTACAGCGCATGCACTGTGGTGCTATTGGTGAAGAGCAGAAGGTCTGCCTGTGGGAGGTCTCTTCTGCATAGAGTCTATGCCAAAGAAGTGATTGACAGGTGGAGAAAAACCTATTTTCAAATAGTTTTTTCAACTAGCCTTTGCATTTGCTGGTAAAACTTAAAAACAGCTAATGTAGTTTTGTGCATGACAAGTTCAGTTTAAGGATGCATTTGAACAAGAGCAAAAAAGACAACAAAAAAAGAAAAACAAAAAACCCCCAAAAAACAAAAAAGGATTATGTAGCACATTTAGAACTATACATTTATATTTTTCCAGCATTCTCACCGAGAAGGACAACACAAGGTTAATCATGCCCTCCTTGTCATCCCCCTGCCTCCCACTCAGACTAAACCATTCATCGACCACCTTTCCCTCCTTCAGCGTCTCAGGTATAGTGATGTGCGTCCAAGCGATGCGGTCATCCATGGAGAAAGCTCTCTGTGTGCAAAAAAAGCAGAAAAAGATTGGAATGTTTAATATACAATGGTGGTTAATGCTATAAAATGCTACAGTAAGGATGCAGAAATGTGTCTCAGATTGATAAAGCCAAGTCACAAGGTCACCATGGTGAATCCAAAATGTGTCTGCCTATTGATCTGAGTAAAATAAAAATATCTCCAAACACAGACATGGCAGATCAATTATTCGCTCTATTCTCCTTCTTTCTGCTCACATTCACAACATTGTGACTGACAGCACTGGGTGGAAGTGATAGAATATTACACCTCCAGAATTGCTGCCTTTATACAGCACTTGGAAAAGCAAATAAAGAGGATAAACCATAACTGCAAACGCACTACGCAGACACAGCCTTGACAGAGCTTCAATCTCATCCTCTCCATTGATAAAGGCGAGCAGCAATGGGAGGACATGTAATCATCAAGAGCAAACAAGATGTAATCTCACTGAAAATGAATTTATTCTCAATGTTATAATAACCATAATTCACCAAACAGTGTAAATCTGCAGTTTTTTTGTCACACAATTGTAGAATGCCCCATATTTTGGTTATAATTGAAAGGCATTTGTTTTATGTATACGTCCTCAGATTGGTTGGTTGGACTTTTTCTTGGTTTTATATTTTTATTGCAATTTATATTTGAAAATACTTCTGCTGTTTGAGTAAATCCTGCGCATACTGGAGATCTGGTAAACTTTGAGTAATTTCCCACCTTTTAGTTTTTATCAATGTCCTAAACTGCACAGAGAAACCTTTTTTAGTGGATAGACTGGGCTTTCTCAGCATGTGCTCTTCTAAAGCATGATCACTCCATGGTGATCAGAGGGTAAACATCCTCCAGGTCAATTTACAACGCCCAAAAACAGGGACTCTAATTATAGGTTCAAAATATCACCATGTAACCTTCACATACTTGGCTTTAAAACTTTATATTTTTACATTCTAAGTAACATTCTGAAGAATTACTATTTAAAAAGAAAAAAAACAGAAGAAGTAGAAAAGGACAGATTTTGTAGGTGCCATTCCTTCCTATGAATTAGCACTATTCATCTAACAAATGAGCTTAAGGCCTGAATTTGACCAAGAGGAAAATGTCTCACGGCTAACCTCATCAAAGATCTCCAGGTAGAAAGAGTCCACCCCAGGAGGAATGGTACACTGGATCACTTTATTCCACCGCGGGTTTTTCGCTCCATTATGTGCGGTGGGTGTTTCATACACTGCATATCCCAAACGTATCCTGCAATAAGGATCCATCCGAGTCATGCCATAATTTTTTGCAAGCTTGGCCTGAAAAAATATTTAGAAAGAACGAATTAATTGAATAACATTATACAAAATAAGCATCAATAAACCAGCTCTAAAACCTAAAACTATTTTAGATAAAATAATGGTGCAGATATCTGGCCAAGCAAATTTCCTACACAAATCCTGCTGTACTGTGTCAGCAGTCATCCCAACTCAAACCTGATATCTGAAACTTCCCATAATTTGTAGATTCTATTTACTTAACCCTACATTTACCAAAAATGTATTTGTGCGGTGTGAAAAATTAACTAAATGTAGAAATCCCCTTAATCCTCCATCTTCACTCCCTGTCAATCATTGTTACAAACTTTGTTCTTTCAGTCAGTATAGCGGAAACATACAGAGAAATTAAACAACGGTTCCATTTATCCTCATCTGCAATATTAGCTCTGCCTTGTCAGAAAGGGCCATGATGTAATTTGCTAAAAAAAAAAAAAAAAATCAAAAAATTAAAAGAAAGCATCTAATGGAAAAAAGTTTAACACTGTTAGATGTCATTTTCAATGTTTTATTCAATGGTAAGTGACAGTTCCTCTTTAATACACAGAACCATCTATTGAGACAGGAAACCTCTCCAAATGTCCTCATACCAACCCTCTCTCTCGTGCAGTCCAAATTTGGCTAAAATGGACATTGCTAATGCAGATAACAATAAGCCAAGAGCAAGGCTGAGCACCAGATTCACTGGGTACTGTGTCAAACTGCTCAAAAGCGGACACGGAACCGAGACATGGCATCAGTAGCATGCCTGTACCATAATCACAACAGCAGGATGTAGTGTTTGTGGTCTTTAGAGTGTCTCCTTTAACAAGCAAAAGATGAGAAAGAGCCCTCCATTAACACCAAGATTGTCATATGACCGTTAAAAGAACTTTTTTTTTACATGGAATGTTCCTTCATGGGACTAACTCAACCATCCAGTATACAGCAAGTTATTTTCATGTATCCAATACCATTTTCCATTTATCAGGTTAAGGGGACACTCCAGGCACCCAGACCACGTCTGCCCATTGGAGTGGTCTGGGTGCCAACTCCCACTACTCTTAACCCTGCAAGTGTAATTATTGCAGTTTTTTTTAATAAACTGCAATAATTAACTTGCAGGGTTAACTCCACCTCTAGTGGCTGTCTACAAGACAGCCACTAGAGGGCACTTCCTGGTTTCTAGCACAGGCAAGAGCCGCGCGCGCATTCAAACCGCCCATAGGAAAGCATTACTCAATGTTTTCCTATGGACATCAGCGTCTTCTCACTGATTTTCACAGTGAGAATCGCGGAAGCGCCTCTAGCGGCTGTCAATAAGACAGCCGCTAGAGGCTGTATTAACCCTATTGTAAACATAATCCTAGATGGACCTGGCACCCAGGCCACTTCATTGAGCTGAAGTGGTTTGGGTATCTATAGTGGTCCTTTAAACTGTAGTGGGTTCTGTTGACTATAGTTTCCCTTTACTGGGATTGAGTCTCTTTATCAGCTTATATTACGCTGTCAATCTCTCAATGATACATTGTGTATTATAACCGGACTTTTCTTTTTCTTTTAACAAGCTGAATGTGAAAAGCTTCTTGTAAGGGACAAAATCTATAGATGCAGTTTTAAACATTTAACATTCAATAGTTTATTCTTGTGCACTGTGACAGTATTTTGCTGTAAAGTAATTCTAAAAAACTAGGCACTTAACTGTAAAATAATAAAATGAAATATAATGGATTAATCCTTTAAGGGAAGGGCATAACAAACGTCCATTCCATCTCAATAATAATGACAAACCTGAACCACTGTGATGCCGAGTCGTCCAACTGTACCCATTGCTCCCGAGTACTGTAGCTGTTGAGCCGCCTGTGCATCCAAATTAATCTGCTGTTGTTGCTGAGTGGGAGTGATGCGCAAGAAGTCCTGAGGCAACTCGCCAATAAACACCTGTAGGAGAATCCAAAGAAAAAAATGGGCCCTTTATTAATGATATAAAATTTTATTTAAGGTTTTTGCATATGCTTCTGGTGACGGATAACTGGCTGCTATATGACATTTTGAGCCCTGAGCCTACAGACACATATCTGAAAACAAAAATGTTAAAGAGGTCTCTACCCATTTGATGATATTACCAGATGACAAAAAGACAATAGACAGGCCTATAATTTTAGGACATTGAGCATTTGTAAAGAAGACTAAGCATATCCCAGGAGGCTATAATCAGAGAAATCTTAAAGTGTTTAATTGCTCAGCACCTCGAGCAATCAAGGAGACACTTTTTCTTTTTTTGGGGGGAGGGGGAATTTCGCCCCCTGGAGTAAGCAAAGAAAGCATTTATTTTAAGAAGTATCCAAAATATATTTCCAGGTTGAAAATAGCTTTCTACATATGACATTATATGCACTTCGATTGGGCACTGAATTACTCTACGCTGATAGATGTGCATCCCTGAAATTGCAAGTTTAAAGTGTCTTCTACTATGGACATGGGTGGAACAATCAGTTTCAATTTGACACATCTACCATTACGTATAGGTTTCACCTGCACTTACTTGTATAAGGAAATAAGGACTGCAATGATTTTAAGTGTCAAATATTCTAAATAATACAAATGTCATTTAGAATAGCCAGTACTCCAATATGGTAATACGGTTTGGGTTACACATTAAAGGAACACTATAGAGTTCGGGATGCAAAACTGTATTTCTCACTGTATAGTGTCCCGCTATCTATAGGTACGCAACCCTTCTTACCTTTTTCCAGCGCCGTGGTCCTGCAATGTCACGCCAATGGGGGAACTTAACGTTGATGCTCAGCAGGCTACACATAAACATTAAAGTTTCCCCATAGGAAAGATTAAGTGCTTTCCTATAGGAATTTTGAAAAGCATGAGGATTTCCAATGTCCTTTCGCAGACTTTAAGGGAAACTATAGTGCCAGGCAAAAAAAAAACTATTTCCTGGCACTATAGTTTCCTTCTTTGTCAAGGCCCCCTCCCTTCAGTCACTTACCAGGGTCCAGTGCCGATGTCCCTCGGCGCTGGCTCAGCTCCACCAACGCTCCTCCCCCACCAGCAGGGGAGACCTAATGCGCATTAGGATCTCCCCATAGGAAAGCATTATTCAATGCTTTCCTATGGATTCCAGCAACGCTAAATGTCCTCATGCATAGCGTGAGGATGCCCAGCGTCGTTTAAACAGCCACTGGAGGATGAGTTAACCCAAGCAGATAACTCATTATTATAGCAGGTAATTATTGCTGTTTATAAAAACTGCAATAATTGCCACTCTAGGGTTAAAGGTGATGGGAGTTGGCACCCAGACCACTTCAATGAGCTGAAGTGGTCTGGGTTGTAGCGGAGTGGCAATATTAAATCCCACGAACTCCGCTGGTAAAGAAGGTAATCCACAGTCAAGCGCTGAAAAGTAAGGCAATATCCCAAATCCCCCAGTAACCGGATGAAACACAGTTCTGGGAGTCAACTGAGGTCTTCACAGCTCCAGTATTTATACAATTCCCCATGCAAGGGGTTTCCTGAGTCACATCACAGGGGTATTACAGGAGTGGACTACATGGGAAACTTAATGTACAGAGCATTTCTCCCATCAGACACTGCTGCACGAGAGGGACACTCCCACTGGAATGTACCGTTAAGTGGATTATCCCCCCGTGCAGCAGAACCGACAATTCACCTTAAAATCCATAAATGTGATTATATTCGGTAGATTTACACAAATGGATGTTCGGTAGATAGCTGGGGTCTGAGCACATAGTTCGTGAGAATACCGCTCAGATCTCAGCTAAAACAACCGAACGCCGCACGAAAAACACTTTGCCATGGAATTCACCCCAAAGTACCGAACACCGATGGGGAACCCTAATGGCGAAAAGACCGGAGCTCCCGAACGGCCTGGAAGCCCAGCGGTGTTCGCGCCGTCGAGTAACCGTTTTCAGTACCACGCGCTGGAGAGACAAAGGATCCAAGATGGCCGACCGCCGCGTGGTCGGTAGTCAAACGACGGCCACCTAGGAAAGCCTCCAATTACCTCTGTGTGTGGGCTATTAAAGGATAGTTCGTTCGGTTCACGAACAGCCCGCAAAGACGCTGTTCGTGAAACGAAATACAGGAATGCTATCTGCTTTCGGCAGCTGGCTGACAAAGTCAATGTAACATACAGGACTAAGCAGGTAACAGCCAGGGCACATCCGAAATCACAATAAAGCTACAGGCAACCTTTTAAAACCATATTGTCCATGTTAGTCCAAGTGGCTAGGTTTGCCACATATGTGCCTACAGTGTCCCTTTAAACTTTGTTGGAATTCAGGAAGTGCCACTAGGGGCTGTCTGAAAGACAGTCACAAGAGGTTGTCAAAAGCCTCAATGAACATTCAATGAGACAAACTGGTCCAGGCTCCTATAGTCCCTTTAAAGGATTACCCCAAGCAGCAGTGGTTGTAATCCATGGAGTACAATGCAGTGGGGAGGGCTTCAGGTGTACCCAATGTAAACATTACAATGAGTTGTGGTGGTTATGGTGCCTAACGTTTCCATTAAGTTACACTGAAGAGGAGGGAGTGGGGCAGTATGCAAAGCTATCAAAAAAATGTTGCTGATTTTTTTAATACAAGAATATCACTGTACACACAACAGTGTGGGTTCAGATGAAGAGCAGGTATAATAAACAGATACCATGTTTGAGAATGCCTAAACTGGTTTCATTATTTCCAGGGACTTTTTATTATCTCTACTCAAACGTAACACAGACTTTCCATTTTACAGGACTAAAGACTTTACTGAAGATCTATTGATATACCCTGCTTTACATTCGCTAATAAGGTGTGGCTGTGACAGCTACGAAAAAGTATTTTACAAACAATCTTTCCAATCAGTGGTAGTCAGAATGTGACCCATTACAAACACACGGCGTTAAAAGTCGTCATTCCTGCATTTCTAGCACACCTTAAAAAGGGAGGAATCAGAAAACAAGGAGTGGGACAAGTACAACCACTGCTGCACCCTGTGACAAATGATCTACTTCTGTCCTGCAGCAATTCAGACTGAAATACTGATTTAATCAGTTTTCTAATTAAGTGGGGTTTATTCAACAAGTTAGGAATTATGGATATTCGACTAGTGGTTGGAATTATTTGTAAATGTAGCTGAGCCAGGAAATGGCTAAATTAGATCATGTAATCTAATTTGCCCATTTAGCCCAATATCTGCAATCTACTTTTCAATTGTTCACAATTGCCTGTGTAATGAATACGGTTTTATCTAACTGAGCAGCCTGCTGTGTGCCCTTCCCTGTTTAGCCTCAGGGTGTCAGTGTAGATAGCCTGAAGGGGTTTGGAGGTGATGGCAGAGAAAATTTATAGTATAAATGCAGTAACTGATAACATGTGAATGAGGAGGTGATTGACTGTGATTCCAAACAGCTGGAAGAGCACGCTATATAGTTAGAAGGAACCACGGTGGGCGGGGAGAGCGGAGTAGAAATAAAGTGACCGATTCAGATGGATTGTGGAATTGGGCCCAAGGAATATAGATACACAGTTATTTGAGAGAAATAAGGTCATGTTTAAAAATAAAATAAACTATATGACAAAATAAATGTTAAAGCAGGACAGTTAGGGAGTCCAGTCAGGCTTTTAAAAAATATTGTGGAGTGCCGTGAGGGCACTTGTATACACACTGTTTCCATGCAGATCATGATGTCACCCACAGGCGTGATGATGTGCGTCTTTTACACCTCAGAATCTACTGGGTGTAGGACAGAGGAGAAGTGACAGTTTCTCTTGAACAAAACAAATTCTAACAAAAATGCCATGTGCTTCAAAAATAAGTACATATTCTATCTGGCGTCCTTTTAAATATGTAGCTGAAGAAATTAGAACTATAGAAACACAGGAGACCAGATTGTGATGGATGATACATGGCAGTGTGTGAATGAAAACTATATTGCTTGGCTATTTCAAACTTGATAAAACTCTGCGGCGGTATTTACAAAACCTATTTCTTATTGCCTAGAAAATCCCTGGCATCGTTCAGCCAATATGGCTAATTTTCTTCCATTTCCTTCTTTGACACCTAAAACTATAGGTTTATGTTCTGAGAGTCCAACTACAGCACCAAAAGCCACTCTGCCACCTGGGATAGGCAATAAATTAATGGAACGGTAGGTGTTTCAGGCAGAAAGTCTATTAAGCCATTACAATATCAATACATGATTTATGGTTTTAAAGTACAATCTAGGTCCTATCAAAATCTATATACATTCATTATAAAGTTTTCAAAATGTGTTCAGTATTGAAACATAATGTTATGATAACAAGTGACACTACAATATTTTATCGTTCTACAATTATATAGGTCTGTCACCAAGGTGGACATAACGTTCCAAGGTATGGATTATAAACAGGGCTGATACTCTATGTTTATGTGTCTATTTCGCTGCCTGCAGTATAAGATTGTTAATTCTGATTTGGTTTAGGTTAGCTGGTTGTCTGTGCTGTTTAACCGAGTCAGCGATCTAGAGTAAGCTACCAGACTTCACCTAAATCCACAGACTGAAATTCTATAAAAACCTTTAATGAAATTTAAAAAGCAGTAGTTAAAGGACCACTATAGTGCCAGGAAAACAAACTCGTTTTCCTGGCACTATAGTGCCCTGAGGGAGCAACAATTACCACTATTAATCACTTTGCATGTTAAAGAAAAACAACACACTATACAAAGATTTATGTACCTGAGTCGGGATCCGAGGTGGAAATTCAAGAAACAATTGGAAGTTTATAAATAGCAATAGACATTGGGATCAATGAAGCTTGTGCTGTCTGTGCTCTCCTAGTTAAGTGTTTCTGCATCTGTTATGCAGAGATTACTCGCCCCTTCTAGAAAGAGCGTAAAAGGAATGTGTTGCTCCTACAGTATACCTCATCAAGAGGTGTGTATACAAGACTGCCTGGAGAAAGACCTTTCTATGGGTAAAAAAAATAAAAATAATAATAATGTAATTCATTCACAGTTGGATGTATATGTATACTATGTGAAGTATTTATAAAAAAAAATAAAATAAAATAAAATATGATGCATCCAAAATTCCAGTATATATTTATAACTCTTCAGGCTACCTAAAACATTAATCAGAGAAGCCCAAACCATGCTAAACAAACACTTACATCTGGAGCAGAAATCGTCCTAGGCTCGCAGCACCTACTCTATACAGACCATTCTCAATGGGAGGCATGGGACTCCCCTATCTACAAAACTATTACCAAGCCGTAATATTAAGCCCCACTACTCTCAGCCTCAATTCAAGTCCCCCTGGATTCATATTGAAGCTTGCCATACAGGAGGACAATCTTGCCTTGCATGGACACCAAAACATATACACATACTCCCGCATCACCGCACTCCCTCTCAGTCACTGGGACAAGTATAAACTTAAACACAAATTAGTCTAGAGAAGAACTTTCAGCCCTCATCCCAAGCTTTAATTATAAAATATGGTATAAATACAAGATCTCTTCCCTACGCCAAGTGATGTGTGCTCCAAGAGTTTAAAGGACCACTCTAGGCATCCAGAACTTCAGCTGGTCTGGGTGCCAGGTCCAGCTAGGCTTAACCCATTCTTTTATAAACAGCAGTTTCAGAGAAAGTGCTATGTTTATGAATGGGTTAAGCCTTCCCCCAATTCCTCTAGCGGCTGTCTCATTGACAGCCGCTAGAGGCGCTTACGTGCTTCTCACTGTGAAAATCACAGTGAGAGCACGCAAGTGTCCATAAGAAAGCATTGATAATGCTTTCCTATGTGACCGGCTGAAAGCGCGCGCAGCTCTTGCCACGCGTGCGCATTCAGCCGCATGGGAGGAGAAGAGGGAGGATCGGAGGAGGAGAGCTCCCCGCCCAGCGCTGGAAAAAGGTAAGTTTTTACCCCTTTCCCCCCTTCCAGAGCCGGGCGGGAGGGGGACCCTGAGGGTGGGGGCACCCTCAGGGCACTATAGTGCCAGGAAAACGAGTGTTTTTTCCTGGCACTATAGTGGTCCTTTACGGCCTTACAACAAAAGGACGGCATTGCAAAATTTTCAGACATGCTAATCAAAGCTACACAAATATTATGAAGGGAACAAAAAAAAGGTTAATGCTCCCCAGTGTGCTGCCAATCATTCAAGGAACCAATCCCCTCCGTACTGAAGTAGGAAAAAGATTTGAAGCTCACTCTCACAGACTCACAAAAAAAGTCACTGTTTCAGGCCCATAGGTGGATGACCTTACGCAACTACTATGTAGAACTATCCTGAAAAATCCTACTACTATCGCTGTATACGGTTCCCACTCGCTTAAAAAATTATGACCCCCAAATATCTGACATTTGTTGGAGATGTCAGGTTGGTACTTGCTCCATGCTTCACATATGATGGTCCTGCCCCCAACTAACCCACTATTGGATGGAAATAGCTGACCTAATACACGCCTGCACAAACATTCTCATACCTGCAACACCAGAAACCTTCTTACTTCTCACATTCCCAGACGGAATGCAGCACTCACTACTATCAATCTGCCCCAACTATCCATTCATGCATTGAACTAGTCTCCATAACCAATATATATGAAATAATGGCATGGACCCAATGGGATCTCTACCTAAACTCCAAACCAAGGGTCAGACGGCTGACACTGTCATACTCCAAATTCCACAGCTGTGTCTATCCTTCTGAAATTGTGCATATCAGACAATATGCACTCACACCATTCAATAGTACATATTAGTAAACCGGGGTACAACACTTCGTAATGAATAAACCGTGTACTATGCATAACATCAGCCATTAAAGGGACACTATATTCACCCAAACCACTTCAGCTCAATGAAGTGATCTGGGTGCCAGGTCCCTCTAGGTTTAACCCTGCTTGCTGTAAACATAGCAGTTTCAGAGAAACTGCTATCTTTACATTTGGGGTTAAGCCAGCCTCTAGGGGCTGTCTGTCGGAGAGCCACTAGAGGCGCATCTACGACGCTGGAGGCATATTATGCCTCCATCACGCAGAGCGTCCATAGGAAAGCATTGCAAAATGATTTCTTATGGACACTTTGAATGCTCGCGCGGCGGTGGAATACAGTGAGTAACTAAAGGGGTTTTAACCCCTTCAGCACCACGGGTGGGGGCACCCTCAGGGTACTATAGTGTCAGGAAAACCGATTTGTTTTCCTGACACTATGGTGAACCTTTAAACAAGATCCCCTTCCCCATCTACCCTACCTTCTGTAACTATGTTATTCTGTTATGTGTTACTTTACATACAAAAAGTACATTTTGTGACATCTGCTTGCTTGCATTTCACTGATGATACAGTTATATCACTCCTCTCAATATATGCAAAATGACTACCACGTTTTCAAACAATACCATGTAATTTTGTGAATTCACTGAATGTACCTTCAATAAAATAAAATCAGTGGCTTCGTAAATCCCTAGATTTAGAAGGCTTAGATATTTAAACAATTCTAATATAAATACATAAAAAATAAGCATTTTTTTTTTTTAATACAGTTTTCAGTGGATTTAATACCAGCTGTTGCCTGGTTGGCTGCTCAAAATACCCGCACCCCCCCTTTTATTATTAGCTCCCACTCACCCCAGGGGACAGAAAAGGAACAAGAACACGAGGATGCCCATTCCCATTTTTTTTTTCTAAATAACTCCAACCCACTTTCAACAGTGGTAGGACAGGTAGAGCACTCGATACCTATGGGTTGGCAGAGGAATCTAGCTGCTGGCAAACAGAAGGAAAAAAAAAATTTGTAGTTGTCCAATCCAATCAGGCTAGTGATGGGCATTGTGTGCCTAATAAATTGTATAAAATTGCTTCAAACAGGGGGCGGGGCCTATCCAGCACGGCGGCAGGACGCATCTCGGAGGAGATCCTCCACCACCAAGCCAAATGCAGCACTTTACAGCCCACTACTGCTCGATCTGAGCTATCAACTCGACACCCAAACTACCTGACTTACCTACAAAGTGGGAAGGAGGCTGGCGACTTGAGGTAACTAATCTACCTCCTGGGCGGTGGAAGCAGCCAATCCCCTGCTACAGGGCAACCTAGCTGCCGAAAACCATGAAGCTGTGCCCAGTTAATACCCCCCCCACCCCGGACCGGCAGTGGTGATCCCGGTCACCCCCCCAGGAGGCAGCCCAACGCCATTAGTTAAGCCTCCGGCTACGGGAGCACCCTGCGGCGGTCAAACCAAGATGGCGGGTGCCACATGGCTCCTAGCTGCAAACACTAACCCTGATGATGCCGAAACCCACCATAAAAGCTTCCACAAAGAGCGGCACCGCCTAAAGACCAGCTAGCAGCAACTGAGCTCCTGCACTGCCAACCATGCTAAGCCTATACCCTCAAGCATCTCACCGGAAAGTCTGCACACAGCCTGCCACGTGAGGGCATCGACTGAGCTGGGCCACATAAAGGGACTTATTGGACTCTTGGCTACCGTGCCTGCCTATAAGATACACTGGGACTGCCATCAGGAGTTTCCATTACTGTTGGGGGCCTCATATAGGAGACGAGCTACACTAACACACTCCACTGTCAAGATAGGAAGACCTAGCTTAACCAATGTTTAATCTTCTAATTTTGCCCAATCCTACTGACAAGTAGTATAGCCTGTTCCCTTCTATACGTAAAGCTGTCGACTAGGGATCGACCGATTATCGGTTTTACCGATATAATCGGCCGATATTCGGTATTCTCGGCAATATCGGTATCGGCTAATTCAGATACCGATATTGCCGATAATACCTCCTAGGACCGCCAGGCTCATTACAAGCCCGGCGGTCCTGGGAGGGGGGTGGGGGGGCAGAGAGCAAGCGATTACTCACCTCCCAGCAGCTCCTCCAGCGTAACTCTCGCGAGACCCGCGGCCGTCAGAGCGTTGCCATGGATCACCATGGCAACGCTCCGCGCGACACGCTGGCCGCGAGAGTTGCACTGGGGAGCTGGAGGAGCTGCTGGGAGGCGAGTAATCGCTTGCTCTCTGCCCCCCCCCGCAGCTCAGCCAATACCACTGGACCACCAGGGACTGCTATATCCCCCCTCCCTGGCCAGGCAACAAGCAGGGAGGGGGGACAACAAAAATAAATAATAATTAAATTATAAAAATAATAATAATTTAATAAAAAATGCCCCCTCACACACTCCATTATATACACATACACTACACAAACACACTGTGTATATAATGCAGTGTGTGTGTTTGTAAAGTGTGTGTGTGTGTGTGTGTGTTTGTATACAATGCACACAAATACACTGCATTATATACACATTATACAAACACACACTGCATTATATACACACACACTATACAAACACACTGTGTATATAATGCAGTGTGTGTGTTTGTATACAATGCACACAAATACACTGCATTATATACACACACTATACAAACACACTGCATTATATACACACACTATACAAACACACTGTGTATATAATGCAGTGTGTGTGTTTGTATAGTGTGTGTGTGTTTGTATACAATGCACACAAATACACTGCATTATATACACACACTATACAAACACACACACACTGCATTATATACACAGTGTGTTTGTATAGTGTGTGTATATAATGCAGTGTGTGTTTGTATAATGTGTATATAATGCAGTGTATTTGTGTGCATTGTATACAAACACACTTTACAAACACACACACTATACAAACACACACACACTGCGTTTGCATAGTGTGTGTATATAATGCAGTGTGTTTGCGTAGTGTGTTTATATAATGCACACTACACAAACACACTGCATTATATACACACACACTATACAAACACACACACTACATTCACTATACAGACACTACACAAATACACACACACTCTGCATTCATTATATACACACACACACTTTGCATTTAGTATATACAGCATTCACTTTACGCACACTACCCACACACACTACACAAACACTCTGCTTTCATTATATACACACTACACTAATACACACTGCATCCACTACACAAACACACATTGCATCCTCCACACACACTACACAAACACACATGCATCCACAACACACACTACACAAACACACACTGCATCCTCTACACACACTACACAAACACACACAGCTCCCCTGTCACACTGCATCCACTACACGTGGCATGTATATTTTGTGCATTTACCTTTAGAAATAGTTTTTATTTTCCAAAATGGTAAATGTACAGAATATCGGCAAATTATATCGGCTATCGGCCTGAAAGTTCACAGAATATCGGTATCGGTATCGGCTCTAAAAAATCAATATCGGTCGATCCCTACTGTCGACCCACCAACATACCTAGCTTGAGTATACTGCAACAATAAGCATGTTAGATGAACGTTAACCTGCGCATGTTTAATTAGTTCACAACTGTTTATTCATGCATGTCATACCAGTCTTATTATTAACTTCTAAAATGTACAGACTCCCCCAAATGTTAACCCTTGCCTCACTTGCATATACTATTGGGGCATTGCAAACATGTATTGTATAGCTATGCACAACCAAAATAAAGAATTAAAAAAATAAAATAAAATTGCTTTAAACAATAGTTTCTATCTAAAGGATAAGCATAGGTGTAGCAAGGTCACAAGGCATCCTGGGGCAAGTCTTATTTGTGCTCCCCGCCAAAACCCTCTCCCCCACGAAAACTTTAGGCTTCCATGGTACCCAAAGCCCACCAACCCAAACTAAAGTGTCCTTCTTAAGGAAAACACTGGCGTGCCTGATGCTTCTTATTGAACGTTCCAGTGTGGCTTTGGGGTTTTGCCTTTCCCTCCTGACGCACCCCAGTGAGAATACTCCTTATTGGTATGTGCATTTCCCACAAATCAAACAAAAAGGCTTGACAAAGGCCCGCTGTGGGGCCTGAAACATTGTTATGCTCTGCTCCTATCCCAGAGGTTGGCAAACTATGGCACTCCAGATGTTGTGGCCTACATCTCCCAGAATGCTCTTACAGATTTAGTAAACAATATCTAGAGTGCTAAAGGCTGACTACCCCTGCCCTATCCTAAACATCACCAATCTGCTACCTGTATGTTAATCATTATACACGCTACGCAACACAGGTCCTAAACAATGCCAACGGCTACTTATCCCATACTGTTACTGTGTACTACTTAATACAGTTCCCAACTCTCATTCCCAAGCCATCCAATCTCACAGAGCCCCTATCTCACGCTCCTGTGGCCCATTATCTCATATCACCTACATAGCAGCCCTGTGGCACTTTTCTGACTCCATGAAACAAGGCTCGAATGCTAAAGTCCTAAGATGTATTTGCCTAAAGAAACATTGTGAGTGAATTAAGGGTCCTATACATTTTACATTACTATAGGCACTGTAATACACACATCATTAAAATCTGCATATTACTAACAGCTCTATGACAACCCCCATACATATTGGGGGTTATGTAATAACCCTCCCACCCATTACACAACAGATAAGTGGGCGAGTCTATAACCACATGAACAGTTTAAATATTTCTATATGCTTTGTATTAACCCCACATGCACAGTTCCAATTTTTAATCTATCACCAGACATGCATCTCATTAAAATCTTTTGGAGCTGTGGAAGGCCTCCTGGTGTATAGTGGTATGGCACGGCTGCACTTCCTATAGCTGATGCTATAAGACTATGGGATGTGACTTTGCACATCATTACAGTAAATGGCAACTGCGTTCAGTATCGCCTAAACCACTGCTTCTTGGAGCTAAGCTCCTTTCTGTAGGTAACAGCTCAGGGTCTGGAATCTCAAAAAAAAAAAAAAAAATCAGACAACAATGCTGGCTTCTTCCACCAGATGGCAGCATGTACTGCAGCCAGAGGTACGGTTTAACAAACCACTCATAAGATGATTTGGGTTCAATTTCCATTTGCAAATAGACCACCACAAATGTAATACTTAAAGGGAAACTGTAGTGTCAGGAAAACAACATGTCCATCAGCGCTGGCTCAGGGCAGCAGGCAGGGGAGAATTAATGTCCATGCACGGCAATGGCCCCCATAGGAATGTATTATTCAATGCTTTCTTATAGGGTTTTGATCCAGTGTCAGTTAGGTAAAAGTCCCTCTAGTGGCTGTCTGACAGCCGCTGGAGGTGGAGTTAATCCTAGCAGGTAATTATTACAGTTTATTTTTAAAAGCACATGCTCCGGGTTAAGGGACAGTTCAATGAGCTAAAGTGGTGTGGGTGTCTATAGCGTCCCTTTAACTACTCATAACACACAATACACCCTTCAGTCACCCACATACAGTTGTAAGTGGCCAACACGCAAACGTTACATTGTGATACTTGGGCATTGGGTATTCAGGAGTGTTCGGGAAGTTACGTAACCAGGAAGGTGGCTATTTGGGAGTGTTTGAAAACTATAGCATAACTATGTGGCCTTCTGTCTGCCCAAGTTATATGAATGACAGTGCTATGGGGCATAAAACTGTGTGGTTGAACCAACAGATTCTCAGGTGCGAGGCATGAATTACCAGCTAACAATGCAAACTGATGTCACGAAACAAAACAATTGTATTCATATTATATTCAAGGTGCTTAAACAAACACTCCAAGCTTGTTGTAGTAGTTATGGTACTATAAGTACTTTTCAGAAAAGTGTGTTGTCTACCTGGTATCCGCCAGGTGCCACTAAAACCTACAGGAGCACTGCAGGGCTTAGTTAAGGAGATCTAGTGGAAGCTCCTAAGCAACTCCAGCTCTCCTGGCTGCTGAGAGGATGCAGGGAATGCAACCCCAAAAAAGAACACTTCAGGCACCATAACCACTACAAGGTAAAAATAGCCTAACAGGAAAAACTCCCTAAGTTTGCTATTCTGGCTTTAAATTTGAAATTCACTCAGAATTAACCTTGAATTTTGACTTTAGTAAATAACCCAGATGGAGTGCATGCTTGGCAGTCACCAAACGTCTCATAAACAAGCAATGAATTCAATGATTTATGAGAAGTAACGGATCCTGCTGTGAGTAAAGCTGCCAGCCAATAGGACAGTGAGAAATCATAGACAGTCAGACAGACACAAACAAGGTGGGCCAAAATTCAGAGTATTTTTTTTTATTTTTTATATTAATGAACCAATCTCAATGATATTCCATATAATGTTGTTTCTACATATGGCCAGGACACTGTGGCAATGCTTTCCTATGGGGAGGGCCTAATGCAATCGCAGCGTATGAGCAACAGGTCCCCTGGTGGTGGAGAAGAATCGCTGACCCAGCGCCGAGGAAAATCAGCACTGGAATCAGAAGAGTAAATAACTTTTTTTTTTGAGGGGCTAGGGTAGGCAAGGCTGCTAGGGTAGGCAAGAGGGTACTATAGTGTTAGAAATACAGATTTGTATAGAATCCCTTTAATTTCATTAGCTGAAAATAATATTTTTTTGTTAATTAAAAAACATTGAAATATCTTCATTGCTGTGTGTACCATAAATCCATAAAGATTTTTTTTCCTTAACCCCACGTATGGTTAAACATTAACATGGTCTCTTGCATAACATCCTCCACACCATTTCTAGACTAAAGATATAGTCATGTTTGCCATTCTTAGCTCTGCAATCATATGTAACTAATACATGGCCCCAGATTTACACTTCTCTTTTGCTGAAAGGTTGTGGACTCAGTGCTCCAATGAAGCAAGTGGCTGGTATTTAGCAAAACATGTTTTTTATTTAAACTGTTTGTATGAAAGGAAAGGGGGCTCAGTAATAAACAAAATATGAAGCAAAGATTCATTGTACTAGATGACAGGTTTTTACATAAAACATTTGAATAAATCTCAGATATTCTGAGGTGTAACATCCACATAGTATCAGAAAATTAAAAGCCTGTAAAAACTGTGGAATATAGGATTTTCGAAATTACATTGAAAAGGGATTGGCTATAGAAGCCAGAACAATTACATTTGGCGGCAGTTGGTCTGGTGACTATAATGTCCTTTTAAGTTAATGGGGTTTTTTTGGTAAAAAAAGGGCACCCACTGGATAATAAAATTGAAAACTGATAAATATAGATTTTTATTAAAGACATGGAGGCACCAATAATGCTCTCTATTTTCCCTCAGTAGCAAAAGAAAATCATCAGTAAAAACATACCGTATATACTCTAGTATGGCACATTTTTTGTGCTGAGAAAGCCCCACTCGTCTTATACTCGAGTCAGTGTCTGTATTATGGCAACTTACATTGCCATAATACAGAGCAGGACCGCCGGTCCTGTTGGGGCTGTGAGCAAGCTGTTACCTTTACAGCAGCTCTGTTCAGCTCCAGTGTAAGTCTCGTGAGAGTCGCGGCCGTCAGAGCTACTGTGGCAACACTGGAGATGAACGGCACGGAGGAGAAGGGAGCTGAACGGAGCTGCTGTAAAGGTAAGTAACAGCTCGCTGCCAGCCCCCCTACTGCACAGCCCATCCACTGGACCACCAGGGAATAATATAGCCCCCTCCCTGGCCATGTATCAAGCAGGGAGGGGGGGGACGAAAAAAAAATAAAAATTTTAATATTATATATATATATATATATATATATATATTAAAATAATAAAATAAATAATAAAAATGCCCACCAAGGTTACACACTCTGCATCACATACACAAACACACTCTGCATCATATACACACACACATATACACACTTAATTCATTATATACACACACACACACACACTACACAAACTCAGAAACACACTCTGCATTCATTATATACACACACTGTAAATAAATCTTCAATTAATGTAATTATTTTGGGATCTAAATTTATTTATAAATTTACCAGTAGCTGCTGCATTTTCCACCCTAGTCTTATACTCGAGTCAATAGTTTTCCCAGTTTTTGGGGGTAAAATTAGGGGCCTCGACTTATACGCGAGTATATACGGTAACGGCATAGCAACACTGCAACCAATTAGGATCCAGTACAGTCCATAAAGGTGTGGTACTCCTAGACTCCACCTCTTTCTTTGCTGCTTCCTCAGACCAGCTAAGTATAACATTTTTCTAACTGCCATTTGAGTGTTTTGACTGGAATTTATGTGCTATTTTTACTTTTATTTAATATATTGTTATTTATATTGTGTCTGTGCCTCTGGGAGCACTGCCTCTACCCATTTTTTGTATTTCAGAGACTTGTTTTCCCTGCCATTTACTTGCTCCCTGTTTTGCGGGGTTTCTCACTCCCCTCTCTGGCCAGGCAGCGTCTTGTCCGCCCTCCCGCTCGACCCACTCTCTTCTGTGTTGGCCTCGGTGGAGGGCTTTGGACGGCAAGATTCCGCGCCCCTGCCATTATCTGTCATGGAACGCGCAAGTGTTTTTGCAGTCGGTTGTCCCGTCGGCCCGCTGCTGTGCGCAGTTTGCATCACAGATGGCATCTTTTTGGTTAATGTTGCCGCAAATTTGCAGTTTCGTGCGAAGCAGGCATTTTATTTCACGCGTGCCAGCTAAAGAGCACGAATATTGTGCTCCCTTTTGCTGGAGCATTCCCTACCTCTCCCCCGGTACACTCCCAGACAGCATAGTGGTTTTTTTTGGTCAACAGTGAGTAAGTTGTGGTGTGTGGATTATTCTATCCTGTCACCACCTTTATTGTGTCTTATGTTTTTTTCTCCTTAGATTTATTGTTAATTAGTGCTTTTGCATAGGGTGACACATTAGTACTGGTCTACTTACTAGTAGCACTTGCAGAGTACTGTGACTGCTCATACTAGTCTAGTATATAGTAGCACATAAGTATTATTTGTTATTTGATTAGGTGTTTCTACCCATACACACTATGCAGTCTCAGGGTGATGGGCCCTCTGGCTCCACTTTTCCCTTGCCTGGGGTTTCCCCATCTGGTGGGGATGACACCAGCCTGATGGCATTGGAGAATTTCCAATCCCTCCTCGACTCCACCGTCAATACATTAATAAGGCACTAGTCTCAGCAATGGGTGTCATGTCATCCTCCATTACACAAATCACCCATGCCTTTATACAGGCACAGAGCTGTGGCCCTCAGAGTAATCAGGCCCCGTTAGCCACCACTCTAGCGCAACCAGGCCGCAAGGCCCTGTGTAAACTGAAAAATACCTTTTCCGCTCCAGATGAACAGGTTTGTCCTGTCCTGAATGACACGCATTAGGCTTTCGATGATGACGCTCTTCCACCGAGCTCAGGGCTTTGAGCCTCTCAAAGCGAACAATGGCAGCGGTCTCTGGAACCCACAGGGTAATCCCTTGTTTGACCGGGATAGTCTGCGCCACCATCGTTCAGTTGAGTGGTTGGCCTCCTGAGCACATTGCTCAATATCTTGCCACTTAGAGTGCGTAAGCTGTTGTCTAAGGAGGGTCGCAACAAGCTTAGAGCTGAATGCCCACCCATTTTACTGGATCTGGTGTGTAAAACCCCAGATGTTGACCCTCAGTTGGTTCAGTTCCTGAACAAGTCGGGATGGAAACCAAGGAAAGGCCTTGATTTCCCACTTAAAAACTGCCAAAACAGATTATGGGTTTACCCTAGGCAATATTGCTAAGCTTTATGAGCTTGCTGAACCCGATGGCCTTAGGAGTTTGAGGTGACAAAGGGTTGGTTGCAATGTTTGGTTTGCATGGTGGGAAAATGCGAATACAGCTATGTCCACCGAATGCCACAAGACAATCCTATTAAAAATTGAGCCCAAACTGGTCAGTATGGCGACCAATGAGCCGGGACCGGTTGCTAAGGGCCTTCTTTTTTAGAGAATCCTTTATCAAGGATTTAGGGCTGTATGTTAAAACATTTACAGCACTTGACCAAGCACAAACTTCTCTGAAAAGAGTGTTTGCACCTAAGGTTTTTGGAGTGACCGGAAGAGGTAGGAGCAGTCTGTCCAGCAGTGGATTTCAGGGTTCATTCAGAGCCGGCAGAGGCACCTTTAATACGCAAAGACCTATACAGGAGCGTAATTTTACCTTGTTCTTCCCTTCTCGAGAACGTCCCTGGAGCTCCCATGGACCACGGGGGTCATTCTCCGGCAGACGACCTTATGGTGAGTATCGCTTATTCAATTTTTTCCCCATGTAAGAGTGGGGGGCAGATTATCACTGTTTTACCAGGCATGTACGATTATAAACTCAGATGTATGGGTTCTGCAAATACAATACAATGGTATCAGTTGGAGTTAGTTTCTCATCCCTACAGGTGCTCCCTCCTTGCTAGATGATCATGCCTGCCGACCATCAACCTTAAATTCGCAAGAAATTAGAGTTGGCATCAAAAAATGTGATTCAGCAGATCCCTTGGGACACAGCGTGTTTTGTGAGCAACTTTTTTCTAGTCCCCAAGAAAGGAGGTACGACCAGTTTGTATGTCTCCCATTTGGCCTTTCCTCTGCTCCCTGGTGCTTCACAAAAGTTCTGAAGCCGGTAATTTCCTTTCTACGCACGTGAGGCCTGCGCTTAATAATATATTTTTTTATTTATTTTTTTTATTTTTAGACAACATCCTTCTCCTGTGTCAATCACAATCCTAATTTAGTGTTCACCTGTCTTGGACAACGCATCTTCTCCAAAATTTGTTTTTTTTGTGAATTGGGAGAAAATCGGTCCTTCTCCTCTCCCAATGCATAGATTTCTTGGGATTCCATGTAGATTTAGCAAATGTGTCTACCGAACAACAAAACCACATCAATAAAAAATAAATTGTAAAAAAATTTAAAATTAGATCAGACGTCTTATGAATCTTCCAGACATTTCTCTCAGACAACTAGCGAGAATTATCGGACTACTGGCATCGGCAATACAAGCTATTTTTCCAGGTCCTCTACATTATCGAAATCTGCAAAGCTTCATATCTACATTCTGGTCGCTCGTACAAAACCTGTGTTTCACTAGATGAGGAGTCCAGAGAGGAAGGGACATGGTGGCACGGCACATGGAATCGTGGAACGGTTGGGCGATTTTTGGAACTACTCCCGATCTGGTCATAGGATTGGATGCCGGCTTACACGGATGGGGTGCACAATGTCGGAACGTTTCTTCCAGTGGCAGATGATCCACCAAAGAGGCTTTTCTGCACATCAATTGTTTAGATCTACCAGCGGCATCCTTCGCCATACGCATGTCTCCCATCGGCATTTCCTGCTCAATCCTCCTCAAGATGGACACCTGGGGGGAACGAAGTCGAAAATGTTAGCAGACATGGCTTAAGAGGTTTGGCATTATTGCCTACATCACAACATAGTGGTGATAGCAGAATATATTCCAGGACAGGAAAAGACTACAGTGGACTGGAACTCTTGATACCTACGAGATGCAGGAGATTGGTAACTCCATCCATCAGTTTTTCTACATCTTTCTTGACTTTTGGGACCTCTCTACATAGATCTCTTCACATCCCCTCTGAATACCCAAGTCCCACAGTTCTTCAGCAGGAGACCGGAGCCAGAGGCACTAGAGACAGAGGAATTCCTACAAGACAGGACCACGGGAAGGAATTTCCAGGGATCCTGGGCTATAGATGATGTTTTGCAAACAACACTCTGTCTCCTAATGATCCTTGGCTCCCGTATCGGCTTCTCTAAAAGCAATCTTACATTATCTTAATCATCTCTTTGAAGAGGGCAAGGTTTTTCGTACCATAAATCTCTACAGATCAGCGATCTCAGCTGGTCATACGGGCTTGTATGTTGTCCCTATCGGTAGACATTCCTTTGTGTGTAGACTCTTCAAAGGCATTAGTTTTTCTCGACCTCCACAAGCTTGGTATTCTTCCTTTTGGGATGTTAATGTGATTTTCAATTTTTTGGAAGCTTGGCCTTCAAATCACAAGCTTTCGCTTAAACATCTGAAAAACTGCCAATGCTTTTTTGTTTACTTTCATGTAAACGCGTCACTGATGTCAGGGCGTTGGACTGGGAAGCACATGTTTTTGTTCCGAATGGTGTGTCCTTCAATATTTCCCATAGGACGAAATCCTTGACTAAAAAGAGGTCTTTTACCCATTTTACCAGATAACCCCAAACTTTGTCCAGTGTTATGCCTTAAAGGGACACTGTAAGCACCCAGACCACTTCAGCCCATTAAAGTGGTCTGGTGCCAACTCCCATCACCCTTAACCCGGAGCATGTAATTATTGCATTTTTTTATAAACTGCAATAATTAACTTGCAGGGTTAAGTCCTCTTCTAGTGGCTGTCTAGCAGCTGTAGCTGTTCTGGTGACTAAGGTGTCTCTTTAAATATTGAGCAAATATGCACCCACCCAGGCACATAGGGAGGTTTTAACTTTTATAGTAATATTGGGGTCCAACCATTTAATGTTTGGACTAGCAAGCCGCCACATAATTACCCCTCACGCTGCCAAGTGTTTTTAACTTTGTCCACTTACTGTTGGCGCTGCCATCCAATAGTTAAAATTTTTGTTTACTTATTTAAATCCGGGCTCAGATTTGAAGCAGTTGGTGGTGTTCAGTCGGTGTCTAAATTGCAAAATCTGCACATTGTTAAATATGTTCATTGTTCCGCTATCTCTGACATTTCAGGCATCCAATGGGCAGAAAACCCCATGGTAATGCGCTTCATAAAAGCAGTCATCAGGATTAAACCACCAACACGTTCCTTTGCATTTCCCTGGTGTTTGCCTTTTGTTCTACAGGCCTTAATGAAAAATCCATACGAACGACTGGAATACATTTCTATGTTATCCTTGACACGCCACAAGGATAGCTCGAAGGATAGCAGACATAAATGGCCTTTCAGTGGAAGAACCTATGCCACATTCTATTATGAGAAGGTTATTCTCCGTTCCAGACCAGAATTTCTCCCTAAAATGGTCTCTCCATATCACATAAACCAGGAGATTATTCTTCCAGTTTACTGTCAGAACCTAACTAATTCTGAGGAAGAAAAGTTTCATAAGCTGGATTCTAAGAGATGCCTTTAGCCTATATTCAAAGAACTAAGCCATGGAGAAAATCTCCTCAACTCTTTGTTATTCCTTGGGGTTCCGGTAAAGGAGCAGATGCCTCTGTGTTTACTCTCCGCTCCTGGGCAGTCTCTACCATTTCAAGAGCGTATAAGATTCAAGGTGTTCTGGTTCCAAAGGGTATACGTGCACACTCTACCAGATCTATTACCACTTCATGGGCTGCAGAATATGGAGTTTCACCAGAGAACATCTGCAAAGCAGCGAATTGGTCTTCACTGAAAACATTTATACGCCATTATCATAGAAACATAGAATGTGTTTTATTATTTTTTATTATCGATTGGATGTTTCTTCAGATGCGGATACACAATTTGGCCTATCGGTCTTAAATTCTTGTAAATTTCAAAACAAATAAAGATTTCTGGGCATGTATTCCCTTCCTGTATTTTTACTGCTTGGGCATTCCCCACAAGTTAAATGCTGCCATGATTGGCCAGGAATGAGAATAATGTATTCATAATTGTCGTAATTTTCTTTTCCTGACTATTATTCATGGCAGTATTTGGGTTTCCCACACTTAACTTAATCCGGATCAGCTTGCTACTAGACTGGGGAACTGAGGCTTCTGGGATCTCTTTATACCTAGAGGTGTATTAGGATTTCTATTTTTGCTGTTGCCTGTACCATTTCCTGACCTATACCTAGTTACGGCCAGAGAGAAGAGACTCTGGTTTGGGAAGTATCAGCTGCCATACTCTAACAAGTGCTAGGAACCTCACCATTGCACGTATTTAAACCTTAAGTTTTAGTCTAAACATAGATAAGATGTCTAGGTCATAACAACAAACCGATTAAGATGTTCCCGTGTTAACGGCCATGGACTAGTATCTTTGCCAAGTTAAGGTAGGGTCTAACATGACCTCATTGAAAATTTTAAGGTATAAATATGTGTTAATAATAATGGAACAATTAAGTAAATTTTGGATGCATAGACGCTATTCCATTTTATCATGACTGAGAGGCTATGTTATTCTATTCTATTGATATTGGAAGCATTTACTTTAATCTTGTATACTCTGCTGTAAATTATAATGGATTATTAAGTTAATTTATGTCTATATTTATATTTAAGAAAATATTTTCAAAGAAAACTATTGCTTCCAAAACAATCCCTATTTTTTATTGTATTATTATTTATATATTTTAAATAGAGAAACTCTAACAATATAAAACTCTAGCTAAGAGATCTGTACGGTTAGCCCTGCTAAATTCAATGCTTTAAGATGTTTTAGTGTTAAATAGGGGAACCAGCTGCGGTTACAACACTGCTTCGTTGATGAGACTTTTTTTGTAAGTTGTGTGATTTAATATTTTTCCTCCTTTAGCATGTAATTGTATTACATTTTAGTATATATACCTGGCATGGGATAAGAGATTAATATGGAGCACCATTACATATCTTCACATTTTACTAGTGATTTTTTTCACATTTTGATTTTGTTATGGTTCTCGGTTCATGTAATTTGTCACGGGACCTGGAATAGATCATGTGAGAATATTCCAATTTCCTGTATAGTATTTATTGAGAGATTTCTGTGTGTTGTATAACGCACGCATATGAACCAACCACTTAATTTTCCATATGGGGAAGCACTGGATTGGCTGAGATCATCAACCTTGATGATCTCAGCCAGGGAGGCAGCATAGGGAGCTGCGTGGCAAGGACTGAAAGGTAACTAAAGCTGATTTTTATTGCAAATGGGTGAGGTAGAAGTGCTAGCACAATGTAGAAGCACTTTAAAAAGAGCTGTAGTAGTAATAGAATGACGGTTTAACTTTTATGGTGCATTTGCGAGGTCTGACAATTTGACAGCAGAATAGCATCTAATTCAGGCCTGAGATTGAACCAGGGAGGGAGCGCCAATGCACATGCATGGTGAGTGCATTAGACCCTCCCCAGAGGAAAGCAGTAAATCAATATTTTCGTATGGGGATTTAATGGACGCTGGATCTCCTCATGCAGAGCGAGCATGACATGAAGTGCTCTGGGTGCCCATAGTGTCCCGTAAAGGTGTCTTGACTTGGGTCAGGTAGGAGAATGTAAATTTGCAGCAATAAAGTAGTTAAAAAGTAAGAAATCATTTTTGGGAACATTGCCAAAGGAGTGGGTATTCTACTGCTTTTTTCCCATATTCCAATTTAATCTCTCTTAGCATCAAACAAAGAATTTATATGACTTTAAACTCTGTGTCATTGTCCTCTTTCACAGCCCCTCAGTGTGCTATTGTTCCTTTGCCAGTGAGCTCAGAGTTCTCCTCCTGCAGTCACTTAGATTCCGGATATTGCGTCCCAAAGTGCCTCCTTATGGTAGCTTCAGCCCAGAGTGCACCATTCTCAAAAGCCAAAGCAGACTGGCGTACGCGACCTCCATAAACTGTTACCAACCAGCCTCGTGCAGTAATAGCAACAGTCAGACGGGGAAAGTTAGAACTAAATCATGAGCGTAGCGGACATCACTTTAGCCCTTATGGTGTATTGTACTGGTCAATCTGGGAGAATTATTTTGTTGAAACTAATTAATATTTGGTATTTTAAATATGCTCATTTTAAAAACAAAACATAAAAGACGCATTAATATAATTAAAAGGATTTGTTCTGTAACATTTGGATTTAGGCAAAAGGCTGCAATTAAGGACCTAGAAGGTATGATTTGTTCTGTAACATTTGGATTCAGTCAAAAGGCTGCAATTTAGGTCACAGGTTCCCCAGCCCTGCTCTAGGACAACTCTCAAGATATTCTGCCACTTTGTATGGGATGGTTGAGCATTGCAGCAAATTAAAAGTTGCACAGAGAAAGAATACATCAGAACAGGACTGTCTACGGAATGACAATATGCAGCTAATTTTGTGATTAGGTTAATTCCCTTTTAATATGTCTTTCAAATTGGAGATATATATATATATATATATATATATATATATATATATATATATATATATATATATATATATATATATATATATATATATATATATATATCTCTCAAAAATAGGAAGCTGTAGAAACGGAAATCTTAAGCCGCTGTTAATTTACACTTTGTAGACTAGTTTTATTATAGGTAATTTAACATACAACAGTAAAATGCTGCAATAGACTTTAAAGGCTCTACTAAAACAGAAAATTACTGGTTTTAAGGCAACCTTCACAAAAAACTAAAAAATATCCAAAACGCATTTAAAACATCACTGGTCTACTTCCTGATATCATAAAATACGCACCAACTATCCCATTAAAACATAAATGTGTCTTATCCTGACATTAACTAGCCCATTAAGGAACCAGGCAGCGATTTGCACATCCAACATCATGTGTGCATTATAAAAAGGTTCAAACATCAATAAATAATTCTAATAAAGAACAATGGCAAACGAAAATACACAGAGATATGCTGTGTGCTTCTATTAAGATATGGATGACTATTATCCTCAGTGGTTTTAATCATTAACATCTGAGCACTGTCCACCATATCTCCCACAATGAGTTTCATCAGACAAGCTCGAGCTTTATTTCAGTTAGCTTAATGGAACTGGACATGAGGTTCAAGTGATGGTATTAATTTTCAGAGTTGTTTCTTTTGAAGAGAAGAAAATGTAGAGATAAACAATAGTCTGAACCAACTTTAACAAAACAAAGGATAAACTGCAAAGGTTGTTAAATTGTTAGTGGTAACCACGAGTATGCATACCAATGATAATATAACAGTATTTTGTGGATGCCTTTCGTTTAAGGAACATCCCATAGTATAACCTGAATCTATGTTGCAGGAAATAAAACACCCCAACAAACCAAAAACCTATAGGTCACTACAAATTATCTCTTCCTTAGTTATTCACCTAATGGTTTGCAAAAAACCCCTGATGGTGACTTTGCCGCTTTGTATCTGGTGGCCGCCAGACACAGGGGAAGGTATGCATTACTTACCTGAAGCTACCCTTCACGGCAGCTGCCATGTGCAACCATGGTCTCCTCATTGCCTCCTGACGCTCTATCCTGCCAGGAACCCATGTCAGAGCTGTACTTTTATGCCTGTGAGTATAGCACTCAGGTGTATGGAGGATCCCAGAGGATTGTCTTGCAATTAACCTATTAGCAATGACTGGGGGAATTGTCACAAACTGACAAAAGTAGCTAAGCCTTTTTGATATTTGTCAGGCGGAGGAAAAATACATGAAGCAAATATGGTGACAGTAGCTTTAACTATTTATCACCATTGGTGTCCAACTTTGGATCTCCAGCTGTTCTTTGAATAAATTTTGCAGAAGCATAACTAATCAGTAGATGGTTGCCAAATGTTACTAACCCTGGGTAGATTATACAGGAGGCTGGTCAGCTGTACTCAGAACCAAGTAAATTATCTTCTAATTTAAGAGGGTCCTTGTGCATTATTTTCACTAGATACAGGTCATTGTTTGAACACATATGCACAAGCAAGCCTAGTAAAACACAACTGGATAATTAGGTAGGGACACTAAAAGCCAGGCATAGCAACATTTGGCACTCCAGATGTTTTGGACTACACCCGCCATGTTGCTTTGCCAACATTATGGGAGGATGTAGTCCACAACATCTGGAGTGCCAAAGGTTGCCTATCCCTGCTATAAGCATTAAAACCCTCTATCTCCCCCCTCCTGCGCTCCCCCCCCCATTACCCTCCATCTCTCTCCCCCCCACTACCCTCCATCTC